TTGGGTAGAAGCAAGAAAGGGGACGCTAGCATCAATGAATAAGCTTAGAAAGACCAACATACTCTTCTTTTTTGAGAAAGATTGTCCCATTCTCCCAAAACCCACGAGCACTCGGACCAAATCTAATTTCTTCCATCCCATTAAAACAAAACTAAGATATGTGGTCCCGCAGGCGCAACTAACAAATATATGTAGTACTAATAAATGAGATATTGTTTAGATTGAATAAAGAAGAAAATGTTGGAATAAAATCATAATACCCTACGTTAGAGCCTCTAAACTTAGTTTTTCTTCTTAATTTCATCATCAAACTTATATTTATACCCTAATTACATCCCTAACTCCATGTTTTATGTGTAACATTTTGTGTTCAATTAAGGCTTAGTTTTCACATTACTTGTAATGTTCTTGCCTAATGCCTTGGTCAATCACTTAAAAAAAAAAAAATACACTAACTCAACAAATTTTGGTAAGGAAGAAATAAATTATTACTAATTCAACAATAATGAAAAAGAAATGATATTTTGTTTTTTATACTCAGATGTAGATTATCAACTTCTCATGTAGAACCGGGAGGTGGATAATGAAAAAAGAGATCATAATCACATGATGTGACATGACTTTTTTTTATTTAACTATAGAGCTTAATTGTAAAAGAACTAAGTTTGAGGATGAAATTAAGAAAAAGAAATAAGTTGGGGGACTAACATAGGTGTTATTGTGAAAATTTTTATTGGAGGGAGAGAAATAAACCCAGGGGGAATTTCAGTTGCTCGAGGAAAGTCAAAATGAGGGATTTGGTGGTTGAAATTGATGATATCTCTTCTTTTACTCAGAACCAAAATTTTGCTTTCTTTTTCTAAATATCTTTTCCATTAAACAATGAAAATGGCATATTACCAATCATCGTTTCCCCTGTATAGGAAACACCCATCATTGCCCCCAACAATCCTTTTTCTATTTAAACAATCTTCTTCTTCAATTTTCTCCTCAATTCATCATGGATGTTAATGGCTTCTACTCCTTTCTCAACCGAGGCATTGATGATCTTGAAAGACTTTACCTTTCCTCTTCCAATTTCATGTCCATCCAATTCCTTCAAAGGGTCCTCTCCCTTCTCCGATCCTTCCACTCCCATTTGCTCCTCCTTGTCCAGAGACTCCATTTGCCCGTCGGCGATAAGTGGGTCGACGAATACATGGACGAGAGTTCCAGGCTCTGGGAAGCCTGTCATGTTCTGAAATTGGGTATTTCCGGGATGGAAAATTACTGCTCTGCCGGATTCAACCTCACTTCTTCCCTCGACAATCACCCCCTTCTTAATCCCCATCTCTCCCGGCAGGTTATCCGTGCAATAGCGGATTGTCGGAGGGAAGCCGTGGGACTCGACGAAGAAAACAGGGCATTGATGGAGACGAGAATCCAGTCGCTGTCTTTGAGGTTTGAAGACAGGGTGTCCGTCGAATCGAAGCTTAATGGATTCAGTGGGTTTCGAGGCGTTCTGTTTGCAATGAGGAACGTGAGTTCGGTGCTTCTGATGATGTTGCTGCATGGGTTGGTGTACTGTTGGCCGGAGTCGAGTTTGGGGCACGAAGGAACAGGGTGCTTGTTCTTTGGATCAGCGTTGATGGTGTCAACGGCGAGGCTACAGCAGAGGGTGGCAGCGGATATCAACGAGATGGGGGGCAGTGGGATATTGGCGTACGAGTTCAAGGTGTCAAAGTTGGCGATGGAGGAGCTGAGAGAGGAGGTGGAGAGGAGGGGAGGAGCAGCGGAGTGGGAGTGGGAGACACAAGTGGGGATTAAGGAGAGGGTAGACAACTTGAAGGGATGTTTTGGCATGCTGAGATCTGGAACTGAAAATATTGTTGCCCAAATTGATGATTTCTTTGATGAGATTGTGGAGGGTAGGAAGAAGCTTTTGCACTTGTGTACCCATAACCATAGGTAGATCTTTTTCCCTGTTACGGGATGATATTTCGGATTAGCTTGCGTGCACCAGAGCGGACCATATAGGATGGAATTTAATCTAAGGCGGACAAGCTTGCGTAGGATGCCACAAGTTGTTTATCTTTAAAGGGCAAAAAACCCCACTTGTTATCTCATTTTAATGTTGCAAAAGGAATGAAGAATGGTCTTAGTTGTTGTTCTTATGGTACAATGCAATTACATGAATTCAAAAGGTGAAAGAATGATGAAGCGAATGAGTGAAATTCCCCTTTTGTTTTAAAGCTTATTAGCTTTTGTCTGATTGATTCGATTCTTCACTTTCGCTTTGCGAAAAGGCTATGAAAATGAAACGTTTTTCTTTTCTTTCAGCGGAAATAAATAAGCAAACATCCCAATTCAAACTCATAAACCCGCTTTCTTCCCAACCTCATGCCTTTTGTCCCTGCCAGGAATCCATGCCATGCCTCCCTTCGAGGGTTCCATGAATAGACAGTCATAAAATATTGCTCTCTCCTTTATAACTCAACTTTTGTTTCCCCACTCAACAACACAATTACTACTACTACTAGCAGGCCAGGCAGCACAGAGAAAAAAAAAAAAAAAAGACCAAAAGCAACAACAACAAAGCCAAACAAACAATAGGACTGGATTGTGCAACCATTTCATGCAATGAAGGAAAAAGTGCCTGGTGTTAAACAAGATTTACATCTCCAGCAACTCCATCACAAATCACATTATGTAACCAAGACTTCCTAAGCAGAGTATTATTGTAGTAGCATTTATCATCATATATAAGAAATTTTTGTGGTAAACATTTCAAATTTTCCCGCCTTTAACTATTATTATATCAGAAATATATCAAACCTATAATTTTTACAAAATTACAATAAAGAAAAAAAAAAAAGAAAAAAAAAAGTCATGTTTTATATTTACCTATCTTTTTCTATTTTACAGGGATGAAATGCAAAACAGAGTGCACTGGAAAAAATCAATGAATTACCAAGAAAATTGCGTCCAGAAGCATACAGGTGCTTTTTCATGTCTTCAAATATCAAACCCAGGCATGCCAAACTGCTCAGCAAATGCCTCAACTTGATTCTGGAGATCCACAATATCATTATTGTTTTGGAGACCCTTCAGAAACTCTTTCTGCAATTTTCCATGTTCCCTCTGAACTGCACTTGTAATCCGTGCTGCCCTAAAAAGAAAATCAGCAATGGTCTCAAAATCAGACTCTAGACAGCCTCTTGATGTCATTGCAGGAGTACCTGCAAGAGAACAAGTTTTAAGGAATTATTATAGGTCTTGACCTTGAAGAGAACAAGACATAATAATGAACTAAAATTCTGGATAAATAAACTGTAAAATATACATTTCTAGAGTGTGTAGAACCACAGTGAGAAATTGAAATAACTAATATTAGAAATTTCAGTCAAATTTCATCATGTTAACTGGCTCATAGTGAACAATTAGCAAATGTAAATCAGCAATATTACTAGAGACATAACTGCCAAATAAAAATAAAAAAAATAAAATTCTGCTTACCAATTCGCACTCCTCCAGGAGAAATAGCACCATTATCACCATATATAGCAGTTTTGTTAAGAGTGATGTGGCACATCTCACAGACTTTCTCGTAATATTTACCTAGAAAACAGAACAGGGATTTCTTAGAAAAAGAACAAGAAACTGTCAACATAGATGCATATCCACAGATGATCCTTCTTCAGGCCATATGTATATAGAAAAATAATCAGAAAATGTGATCAATGAGATGCATTGCCATATACAGGATGTCCATTATAGAAATTAATTGTATATCATTTTCGACAAGGCCCAAAAGAATATACATGCTTAAGTGACTTGCTTTATTTGGATGAGGACATTCCATAACTTCTTACCAACCCTATTTTGTCTAGAAAGTAGAAGGCTAAAGCAGTATATCCTCTAATGTGCAGAAAACAGCAAATCCTATTGTTTCCTAATAATAGGAACAAGACAAATCAACAGAAATAATTACTGCCTTATAGTTTGTAATTTAAGCAGAGTATAGTTCGGATACCTGTTAAACCTAGGGTGGTCAGATCCCAGAGCAACAAATAATTGTCCGTGCCACCAGTCACTAATTTGCATTTTCTCCTCAACAAGGCAGATGCTAGAGCCTGGGCATTTTTCTTCACCTGGTGCATGTATGCTTTGTACTCTGGAGTTCCCACATGTTTTAAGGCTAAGGCAAGAGCGGCAATGTGATTATTATGAGGGCCTCCTTGGAGTGATGGAAAAACAGCAAAGTTTATCTTCTCTTCAAGCTCATAATGCCCAAAACTGTCACCATTAGTTAGAACCACACCTTGCTTTCTTGATTTTGGGCCTCTCTTGTAAAAGATAATACCTCCTCTTGGACCCCGTAGACTTTTATGAGTCATAGAAGTAACTATATCACAGTAGTCAAATGGACTTACACATTCCTGTAAGACACAAAAGCAAACATGTTGGTGAGACAAAAAAAAAAAAAAAAAAGAAAAAGGCAGAAACATTCTTCTATTTAACTGACAAACTGAAAACAAATCCTGATTAGATTGATAATCCCCATATCAATTTCAAAAATAGGGAAAAGAGATAAAGCAGAGGAAATTTTGAACATTCATCCACATATGTTTATAATCACCCAACAAATTGCCAGGATGAAACGTTAATGTTTAGTTATAATATGGATATGATTCAGGATAGAGGGAGGTTAGGAAGTATCCTTGCTTCATTGATTCTAAGCATCAAATTAGATCTAAAAGCTGCTACAAGAGTAAAAGGCCTAATGAAGCATTATATTCATATGGGAAAGAACACCAAAATGGTATATTAGCTCACCAATCTATGAGCCACTGAATAAGCATAAAGCCATTTTAACACTATCTCCAAATTAAAAACTCTTTTCCCATTCAAATTCACCTGATAACATGATTTGCTTTAACTCATGCTTTCTGCTTTAAAAGGTGAATTCATATGCTTCTATTCTAGAAAACGGATCAGGTAACTTGCACTCCCTATCCTTGCCCACACAGTGTGCAAGGGAAAAAAAAAAAAGCCACTTAGACAACGATGAATGAAATCCTAAGCTTAGAGAATAAGAATTGTGCATAATTGCTGTGAAGACGTAGGATCAAAATCATAATTTACAAAAAAAAGGAAGAGGAAAATTCCAAACCTTTGCGGCCACAAGGCCACTAATGTGAGCCATGTCACACATCAACACCGCTCCACACCTATCAGCAATCTGCCTGAACCTAGCATAGTCCCACTCTCGTGGATAGGAACTCCCACCACAAATCAATATCTTGGGGCGATAATCAAGTGCCTTCTCTTCCAGTTTATCATAATCAATATACCCGGTTTGTGGGTTCACCCTATAAGGGAAACTCTCAAAGAATATCGACGCCGCAGAAATTTCTTTCCCCCTGGCTGATAATACCCGTGACTCATGTGCCCTCCAGAAGGTGAATCCAGCCCCATTATTCGATCACCAGGCTGCAAAAGAGCTGTGTAAACAGCAAAATTTGCAGAAGTGCAGGAGTAAGGCTGCACATTCACTCCCCACATTTGTGAATCAAGACCAAAAGCTGCCAATGCACGCTCGCAACAGAGAGTTTCAATCTGATCAATATATTGATTGCCCATGTAGTATCTCGCTCCAGGCATTCCCTCGGAGTATTTGTTCGTTAAGTGACTTCCTAGAGTTTCCATTACTGCACGGCACACAAAATTTTCAGAGGCAATAAGCTCGATTCCTCTGAATTGTCTCTCCTTCTCTTTTTTCATGATCTCATGAACCTCAGGGTCCGCGACTTCCAGCGGCTGGTTTCCCCAGGAACGAACGGCAGCCCGCCTCTGCTCGAGACCAGGGTCGGCCGCCACACGTTTACAAGGGTTCGAAGGCGATTGGTGATCTCTTTGCCTTTTGAGACACATAGTATGCCCTAAAAGACTGAATCGCTCCTCTTCTCCGTCGAAATCTTCTCCCTCCCCATTCACAACCCGAACCTGTTTCAGAAATTGGAGGGAAGCCCGAGGCACCGGATTGGATTTGGATGAAACAATTTGCAAGGAAATCGAATCGTCTGCAACTGGAATCTTCGAAGAAGATGACACATGCGAATTCCCAAACCCCAAGGAAAGAGCCGACTGAGCATGAGACAAATCCATAAAATCCAACAATCAGTTACGATGATTGAAGCTGACGATGTTGGACTATGGATAAGTGAAGCAGCAACAGAAACAGCGACAACAGTTCCGGAAGAAAGAACACCGGAGATAACGGAAATTCGGTCGGCGGGATGTTGGCGCAGAAGAAGCACTGATTTCCATGGAGAAACCCTTTCCCCTTTTCACCTTGGTTTGCTTGTGGGAGAAGAAGAAGAAGAAGAAGAAGAAGAATGGGATGTATCCAAAATTGCAACCAGGTTCGGGTTCTCCTCGAGGGACGACCCATTTTAATATTTTATCATTAGTTTATATACCTTTTTCTAATTATGATATTTAGAAATAAAATCAGTAATTATTTGTTGGTTTTTTAAAAAATTAAGAAAATACTTTTTAAAAAATTATAATTATTTCAATAAAACTCTAAAAAATTAAAACACTTTATTTTTGTTAAAAATAAGTTTACCTAACTGTGTTTAACATAAGTTAAGAGTATTTTTTATTATAAACATATATAAAAAATTATAAAAATTAATATCACTTTTTTTTAATGAATTTTTTGATATATTTAATTATGGATTATATAAGATAGAATAACTTTCTTGATTCAAAACTCAAACTTGACATTTTAAAACTTAAAATTTCAAATTATTAACTGTTAAACTACCCATTGGGATTAAGTTAAAAAATTAAATTTAATTAAATAATTAATAAATTAAATATTGACTTTTCTTTTTCAATATAGATTTATTATAAAAGAAATATTTAATATGTTTTTAACTTTAATTCTTAAAATACATGTTAAACAAATTTATTTTTAATAAAAAAATTTATTAAAATAATATGATTTTAAAATTATTTTAATTTTTTAAAACCTTAACTAATAAAAATATATATTTTGTAAAATATCTAATTATTAATTAATTTTAATTTATTAATAGTTTATATTGTCTATTATAAATTATTTTTAATAACAAAATCAAAATAAAAATTTTACAATTTTAATAAGAGTAGCAAATTTAAGATGATTTTAGCCAGAGCCCTCTTCGTGGAAATGGACAGTAGATGGACCTAGGCCCAGTTTTAGTGGGCGTAAAGGTGATAGGCTTAAGCCCAACAGGACCGTACAAAACCCAGCCCATCCAAACTAAATAAAAGGCTCAGCCGACGGTGGGTACCGTACCGTCGATTCCTTCCGGTTTGGTTTGTCCAATGTCAATGGAGTCCGCGTCTTCTTCTCCATCCTCCACCTTCGTCGGCTTCGAGTATCTTGTTGTTCGTCCTGTTCTCGCCGTAGTTTTCGTCCTTTCCTTCATCTCACTATGTAATACTTCCCTCCCTCGTCTTCTTGTTGATCTTATTTTGATGATTTTACGAATAAATTCTGTTTTGGGTGTTTTTTAGGGTGGTGGTTAGCGTGGAAGCTGGTGCTGGTTCACGTTCCGCTGGTTCAAGAGATATTTGGACTGCGGAAGAAGCCCGCCAAACCTAAGCCGCAGACGAGACGATTTTTCAGATTCTATGACAGAATCAACGCCCATAATTGGGCTTCCCAATGGTAATTTGATTTCTGGGTCAATTCTAAACTTATGTTTAGTAATACTTGTAGCCGGCATTGCATGTTATTTTCTGTTTATATTGAAAACTTTAAATACAAATAGGACATTGCAGCTACGATGATTAGTGTCTAATTAGGAGTTTTTGTGGTTCTATTCAATGGTTAATTAATCCTCTCTAGTGAATAATCAATGGGTATTTTGAATTTGCACAAGACTTGGGGAATTTGGGAGCTGTATTATATTCATACCCCTACCAAAGAGCTTAGAATGTCAGGTTGTAGGTGAAGTCAAGGAGATGACTTCCTGCTCCTTGAAAGAAAGGTGGGTAGCCTTGCATTGATCCTTTGTAATCTGGCACTGGCAGATACACAAATTCACCTATATTTGAAATTATATTTCTTCTCACATGTGTCTTTCTTGGTACACTGAGAGTTAGTTGCTTTGCATTGGGAAGGTTTGAATTTGAACCTCTGACCTTGACTCCAAAATCAATGTTTTTTAGTTAGTGGATATCAACTTGGCTAAAGCTTTTGTTGGTACATTGCTTCTCCAGTGCTTGGAACGAGGCATTCTATCAATTTTTAATGAAATCTCTTTGGTAACATTTAACTTGTAGAGAAGAGAGTTGGAGTCTGATTCTTCCTTGGTGGTTTGTGAAAGAAATCATTTTTGATGGTTGGAAGTGTGTTATTCAGTATAATGAGATGGTTTGTAATTTTGTTGAGGGTTTTGCCACTAACTCTTTTTGTTATATAGTTTGTTTTTCTCTGGTGGTTTTGTCAGGAATCTGTCTCCTCTTGTTTAATTGCTTAATGCATGATAACTTGTTAGAGGAGCTGTACTGAACTTGAATAATCTGAAGCAGAATTGGAAATGTTCTATTCCTATCTTGCTTCTATAATGATTCATCTTGAATCAACACATCTAAAATCTTAACAACATGCTGTTTCATCATGTGCTTGTAATTCCATTAACCATTATTTTTGTTGCTTTTTGATGTGATGACTTTCAGTTCATTCTTTCTTATTCACTTTGAATTAAACAATAACATTAAACACTTACTTATGATCTCCTGGTCTCCTGTTACCAGAATTCTTTCAAATTCTTGGTTAACTTCTGTGGTTATACTCTCTAGTAAGAAAATTGTAGATTTAGTGATGCTGAGAAAAGATTTACACATTCAAATTAATTTAAATTTAATACATACGGTCTCATGCATCCGTGATCTCTGCTCATAGCAAAGTATTTTCCTTGGATCAAAACTAGCTTTCTGAACATTTAAGGGATCCTGACTTTGGTTTCTAGCTGATGGCTTGCAGTTTACCGTTGAGTAAGTTTTGTCTTATAGTTCTATTGATTGTAAGTTGGTGCTATCCTTTGCTGACAAGAGATAGATTGTTCTTTTTCCTTTGCATCAACATGGTAATAGCTTCCTATTTATAGATGCCCTGTTTTTCACTGGTATCTGCGTGGAAAACTGTCTTTTGACTGTGAGCATGAATATATGATGAAGCAATTCCCTCCGCCTTTGGAAATTCAGAATGCACCATTGTTTATATGATAAAAGCTAAGAGGCTTTTGTTTTAAAATAATGGAACTTCTGAATCTAATGCTATGTCATATTCAGTGCAGAAAAAGACAGCTCAGATTAGCTAGGAATTGAAACTGTTCGAGCCTATAATGCTGAGAAGGACTAGGAAGGAATCCCAAAAATTTGAATGACAAAAAATGTGTTCATTGTTTGATGTAAATGTTGGAATTGTTATTGAAGGATGTGTTACTACTTACTACTACTTGTAAATACTTTCTATTCATATATATACTAGAAAAGCTTTTGTGAGAAGGCCAGTGTGTAAATAAAAGATGAATTGATTCATTATCATCACATCTCCTGATTATCCGTTCTTTTGAAAGAGTGAACAACTCTTGAAGGAGTGCTAAAAGAGAGCACCACCAGGAAGAAGATTAGTTTGGAAATAAATTGCATTAACATCTCATGAAAATTGGAGATGAATTAACCAGAATCCAAAAGTGTTGAAAAATAAAAGGTTTCATGTGCTACTGAAATGTCACTAGCAGCTCTGATTTAGAAGACAGGTCTGTGAAACATCATCTTTCGTCAGCTCTAAGCAGATGTTGCATGTTCGCCAGTGAGTTTTTCAGTAGCTACAGGGTCCTTCCTTCTACCGGGTCCTGAAGAAACTTTGACCCTTGCTGGTCTGAGGAGCTGATCTCTGAGCAGAAATCCACGCTGAAATTCTTGGATGACAATTCCTTCCTTGAACTCTTGAGACGCCTCACGTCCTATTGCTTCATGCACCTGCAATGGATAAATGGATGCAAAGTGAACAAATAAAAAATATTTGTATCAACTTGCAAATCTGTTTGATAGCTATTCTCTGGATAACAACTTAGATTGATTCCATCATACTACTTCAAGGAAAAATGGAAAATTATTCTGTAAGAGCTGACTGGAAAAAAACCGAACAACCAAGGTAAAGCAAGCAGAATCACAGTTTGTCCCCTAAGCATGGTTTTAGTTCTGAGGTCTCCATAGCATTCAGTTCTTGAGGTTACAAGAAATTAGGGAGTGCAGACAGAAATTACTTTATAAAAAGAATCCCAAATAGTATTTTATAGTTCTCTGTAGCTGAACTAAGATGGGGATGTAAACCAGCTAAAAGGAGATGGATGTTATCCTATATCCATGACAATTAAAGGAAAATTAAGCTTTACTTACCGAGGGATCAAAAGGCTTTCCAATAGTTGGGACTACAGACACACGAAAACTCCTTAGCACCTCCACAAATTGCCTATATATACCCCGATAACTTGTATCTATCTTCTTTTCCTTCTCTGTCCCCAGTTTTATTTGTTGCTTGGCTTTCTCAAAACTGTCCACCATTGCCAAAAGACTCTCAACAACTTCTCTCTGGGCATCAGACCTTATGGTCAGTCTCTCCTTTTCTGTTCTTTTCCTGAAATTATCAAAATCTGCTTGCAAATGGATAAATTTCTCCTTGCTTGAGTTTATCTCAGAAGATAAAGCCAAAACTTTCTGTTTAAATTCATTCTTCTCATTTTCTATGGTACATATTATATCCTCTATGTCAGAGACAATTTTATCATCTCCATTAAGCAAGGCCTCCTTGTAACTTCCAATTATGGTCTTCAAAATGGGCAGATTTTTGTGAGATGCTTCTCCTCTGACCGTTTTACTATCATCCTCTTCTTCATTAGCCTGAGAGAAATTACAGTATAAACCATATAATCAAATTTTTGGGGGGAAGTGGAAGTGGAAACGGCAAGAAATATCACACGAGTCAAAGGGTAAGTGGGAAGGGGGAAGAAAGAAATAACAAGAAAAACACGATGAAACAATTGTTCAATATACTACTGAAAATGTCAGGTACATGAATTACTCATTCATTAATCAAAAACCATCAATCATTAGAAGCAGAAGCCACAATGTTAGCTTTTGGAAACATCAACATCAGAACCATTTATACAAGCATACGCCACCTAAAACAACTGCAACTGTCTGTAACAAAAAATTATAGGGTTTTCTAATGCTGAAATAAACTTAAATGAGCTATCAGATTCCTTTTAGTTGGGATCCTAGTGGAAACCTCGGACATGGTATAACCATTGCACGGACTGAAGACTTTCTCGTCTATAACAGGAAGATAAAGATTCTAACAACGGATCTAAGCATCTGAAAGAATCTTAACTTTTTGCATCATCTCAAACCATAATTTCCACCTCAATGAACCTTATGAAAGCCTATCAACAATTTGCAACCTTGCATTCAATGTCATTGATTAGATTAGCTTTCATAGACACTCACAAACACCCAACTCCAATTCTAATATTTCAACTAAATCAAGTTTCTAACTTGACAACAATTGTAACAGAAGTTGACACGTCCAAGTGGGATTACATTATGAATCTTCTTCAAAATGAATTAGGATTAACCTTAAACAGCAATTGGGATTTATAGGGACATTATAAACAGGCAAAGAACGCGAAAGACACGAAACCAATAATAACACATTCAAACGAATAACAAAAGGAAAACCCAGAAGAAAGAAGGGGAAAAATCAAAATCCTACCTGAGGAGCAGATGCGCTGGCAGCGAAAGCAGGGCGATTGCGACTCTTGTTGGGAATGAGAGGAGAGGAAGAGTTGGGTAAAGATAAAGAAATCCCTAGAATGGGTTTGCAGAGGACGGGGAGAAGGGTTGGGGGTTTTGAGAGTATGGAAGAAGAAAAGGAAGCGGAGGGGAGAGCGGGCAACAGGGAGTGATTAGAGAGAGACACGGCCATTCACCATGCGCTGATGAAGCTTCAATCAATCTCTCTGTACAGTGTACACTCTCAATTCTGCCTCTGCATTACTGTTTCAAGCTTAAGCACTTTGGGCTTCTTTCTGAGAGGTGACATTTTTCCATTTTTTGGGTTAGGTAAGGTGGGTGGATAACGACGACCAATCGAGCCAACAGTGTCTTATTGGGCCACAAGCCCAATAATATATATTTTTTGAACATGGGGTAATTTTTTCCGAGCGATTTTTATTATTATTATTATTAGTAAGAACCGAATTCTTAACCAATTAAAAAATCAATTAAAACAAAGCATTATGGCTTGAAAATGGACTATGGGTTGAACTCACTACTTAGTTGCTTTGCCTATTTAAGTAGTTTTTTTTTTTTTTTTGTACATAGTAATTGATTCATAAGATTTTTATACTTCAACTTAGAAAACGGAAGAATTAATTCTAATTATTCATACTTAAAAATGTATCAAAATATTTATTAATGAATACGATGGCAAATGTCTTTTTCTTATGGTTTAGTTGGTCAAATAGTTTTCAGATAAATTTTTATGTGCTTTAGAATTAAATTTTTTAAAAATAATATAAAAATTGTACCTATCATATCATTTATAGAGCATTAAAAACATCAATTTCCTTTAATACTAGCAAATGTTGGTTTGTTTATGAACCTACACAATTGTGTACTACATAAGAAAATACATTATATTTTGAGCATGCAAATTTTAAATTACCATAATAACATTAGGGATTCAGAAAAATAAAAATATTATTACATTTAAAATGATAAGAACAATAATAAAAAATTAAAATATATCTAATGAATTGTTTTATAAGAAATTTTAATATTTAAAATATTAAAATATCTTGATTTTTATTTTTTTTAAGGTCATGTGAAATTGGCAAAAAAAAAGGATTAGGTAAAATA